CTTTCCCGTATGAGCAGATTTTGTTGTTCCTTTCAGTTTCGTTTCTTTAATATAGAAACACCAATCTGCATGTTTTTTCTCTTTACCTCTATTGATTTTCATTCTGTATGAGCGGGATTACCCATACCATCTCTGTTTATGATTCCATAACCGCAGATTTGCATACTGGAAACGAATCTCCAGTAACCATCTTCTTACGTTATCACAACAGCTACGACGATATTTGGTCCATTCTCAGATTTGTCTTGTCACCAATACCAACTAGACAAAGAAAAAACGTAACTTTCATATAACTTTGTGCAGCGATTGGCTTGTGGGAATCTACTGGAGTTTACGCCATAGCCATAGAACCCAAGGAAGGTATACTGTCCAGAGTCTGACATGATGGTTTCTGGGTCAAGTTTTTGCTTGAAATCTCTCCTTCTCAGACAGAATGGAAACAAACAAAGTCAGTATCTTTATTGGCTCTAAAACACGTCTCTCCCTGAAACCTATTGGGTTTGTGTCGCAACACTCCGAATCCGTGTAGGAATCTGGGGAGGATATTGCCGTTATCTCTGCAATGGGAATGCAAAGCAAGATCAAAGTTCTTCGTTTTGTGGGAAAGCTAAAACAGAGCTCTGTCTGCAGAATCTCAAGGACGGATCTTTTTTTTTTTTTGTGGGTGGATGGACGGTATTGTAAATTTTAGGGTTTGATACGATGATGTATGTTCATTATGGTACGGAACTGTTCCTTTGATTTGGGCAATCATGGCAATTACCATTTACCCTCAGTTTTAATAGTTTTCTTTTATATATATGTATATATATATATATATATAGAATATATTTGGGGTAGGGAACTGTCGTACGAAAAATGTTATTAATACTAATTAATTGAAGCTTGAAATTGAATCCTTCGTGCCAATATAGTCTATATATATTTTTCTTCTTCTTAGTTATTAAGTTGTTGTATCAAGGGAAAGCTTCCTTCTAGTCAGCGACGCACTTATTATAGGAATTCCCCCGTCGCTCGCGTCTGAACCCTCCCTCTCCCATACGGCGGAGAAGTCCTCCATGGCTGTGACTTCGGAGCCACCGGCTAATGGCTTGTGGGATTCGGTGGTTGTGCTGACGAAGTCGGCTCAGGAGAAGAACGCCGACCCACTCCACTGGGCCGTACAGCTCGCCTCCACCGCCGCCGCCGCTGGCGTCTGCCTCCCCTCCGGTACACTCGCTCAGCTCCTCGTCTCTCACTTCTTCTCCGACAATCACACGCCGATCGCCTGGAAGCTCCTCGAGAAAGCCATGACCGTCAAGATCGTCCCTCCCTTGCTCGTCCTCGCCCTTCTCTCCCCGCGGTAACCTCGCTTCTTCGAATTTCTCAATCGGCTCACTGTAAGTTCTAGGTTTTGTTGCCTATTAGAATTGCCTGCCAAGTGCCCAACATTTGCTGTACGGTTCTCGCTGTCTGGGTTCTTCTCATTTTTCTCGAGGAACTTCCACGCGATATATTTTGACACTGTGGTTTTCCGAATCAGTCGTGTGGATATTCTTTCACTTGACTGTTAAACAATTGGATTTCAATGTCATGAATCGTTGAACTATGTTGCTTTCTCCTGCCTTTAGGCTAATTTCCCCTGCAATTGCGGGTAAATGGTCAAGTTTTGCATCCTTTTATTGTCGTTGTGAATCGAACATTCGAACAGGTTTCTTGGCATTACAGAATCCGATGAATCTCAGTGGTTGTTTTTGTGAGCTTACCCACACCTAATATAGAATGTGATTGGTAATTTAGGATAATCCCGAACAGAAAGCTTCATCCTGCGGCGTACAGGCTTTATATGGAACTCCTCAAGAGACATGCTTTCTCGTTAACATCTCAAATTGACGGACCAGAGTATCAAAAGTAAGTTCCTTAGCTCTGTGCTGCTTAAATTTGACTTGATGTTGCTCAGTTGATATGGGGAGACTTTAGTAAGCTCTAGATAAGACGTAATCAATTGCGTTTTTTGCATAACCACACTGCTATTTTGTGTTTAAATTGGAAGTTCTGTCTTATTTCTACTGTAAATGTGAATTACTTTAATGTCTAAAAATTAACAGGACAATGAAATCCATAGATGGTATTCTCCATCTCTCTGAGATCTTTGGTGTCCAAAAGCAAGAACCAGGAAATCTTCTCCTTGAGTTTGTCTTCTCCATAGTCTGGCAACTAGTTGATGCATCTCTAGATGATGAAGGGCTTCTGGAATTGACTTCTGAAAAAAGGTCTAAATGGCCGTGTGGTCCCGACAACATGGAAATGGATGAACTGGACAATTCCAGAATGAGATTGGAGAACCATAATATACTGGAGAAAGCAAACACTGGAATGGCTATTGAGCTGATCCAAGATTTCCTGCAAGATAAAGTAACGTCAAGGATTTTTTACTTGGCAAGTCAGAATATGTAAGACTTTAACTGGCAGCCTTAACCTTTTATCCTTTATTCCCCTCTGCTGTGCTGTGGACAATTGTGGAAATTGCTGATCTGGTTGAACTTGACTTCAACGTCTTCTGGTGTGACTTTAGCACTGTGGACTGAAATGTAATGAAAACTGTTTGAGATCTTTCTCAGCAAAAAATCAAATGTGTTTTTTTTACTCAGGCCATCACACTGGGAAGACTTTAGTCATCGTCTGAGAGTACTGGCAACCGAATCAGTGGCAGTGAGGAATTCAAATCATATGGCTCCTGAAGCCCTTATACAATTGACATCTGATACAAGTAAACTTCTGTCAAGGGATTTCAAGATGATGCCACAAAGAGAGTTTCATGCAGCTGTCTCCCATGGTTCTAATTTAGTGATTACTTGTCCATGCCCCGGGACAAGTGAATCTGCAATTTGGTTGCCCATTGATCTTTTCCTTCAGGATATTATGGATGGGTCACAAGTGGCAGCAGCCAGTGCTGTCGAAAATTTAACTGGTGCCAGTAGATTCGTTTCTTTTGGCTCCCTTCGTAAACTAAAGACTTGTTTGTTTAGGCTTTATTTGAACAAAAGAAAATGTTTTCAGGTCTGGTAAAAGCACTGCAGGCAGCTAACAGTACCACATGGCATGATGCCTTTCTGGCTCTATGGATTGCAGCCTTACGGCTCGTGCAACGGGTAGGAACTCATTTTGAGACTGGTGTGGTTTCCAAGGGATTGGGTTTAGGTTTAGGTTTTACCTTGGTTAATGTTGTCTTCTCGCCTTTAAGAGTATAAATGTCTTGAGTAAACTGATTCTCCATGTAAATGATGCAATGCAATATCTTAGGGAGGCTCCAAACTCTGCTATTTAATATCAATTTACATGTGATTGGTCGCTTTATCTTTTTGAGCATATCTCATGCTTGACACAGTATCTTCATTTCCAGAGTCACGTTCTCTTAAAGAAAGTCCGTGACCAGAACATTTAATTTGTAGGAAAGAGAACCAAGTGAGGGTCCTGTACCTCGCATCGACACTTTTCTTTGTGTGTTACTGTCAGTCACTCCACTTGCAGTTGCCAACATCATTGAAGAAGAAGAAAGTCAGTGGATTTATCAAAGTGCATCTAGTCCAGGCGACAAGCGCAAAGAGAAACAAGGAAAATGCCGCAAGGGACTAGTCACCAGCTTGCAGCAACTGGGTGATTATAACAGCTTGCTGACACCACCTCGTTGTGTACAGCCAGTCGCAAATCAAGCTGCTGCTAAAGCAGTCATGTTCATTTCAGGCGTGACAAATGACAATGGATGCTATGAAAATACCAGCATGAATGAATTGCCTTGTGGCTGTTGTAAGTATTCTTTATCTTTCTACTTTTAATTTCTCTCTTTACGCAAAACAGTGCTCGTGTTCTGGTTTAATAATCGCATGGTTTTTGCACTTTATGTCTGTGGTGGCTTTAGCTTGATGTTTTACTTTAGTCCATCTACAGGATTTCTTCATGGCCCTTTGATGTTGAGAACTCCTTTTGTTCTCGTTTTAGGAAATTTCCCTTTTTACTCAATGAGTTGTCATCTTCATCCATTTTCTTAAGGAAAAAAAGTGCAACATATAGTTTTTTGTCTGTCGCTTCCTGGTCCTTATTTTTGGCCAACTTCTGGTTGTTTGTTAGGGCTCTTTCTGATATACATGCTTATTAACTCCTCTTCCTCAGCCTTTTGGACCTCTAGTTCTCTTTTTGCCTGTTTGACAGATTTCTTTATTGTTTTATCTCTTGGCGCAGCCGGTAATTTGAGCCATCTGATTGTGGAGGCATGTATCTCCAGAAACTTGTTGGATACATCTTCATACCTCTGGCCAGGCTATGTAAACGGGATAACCAATCAAGTGCCCCAGAGTCTTGTTGGCAATACTTCTTGTTGGTCATTACTGATGAAGGGTTCACCTCTAACGCCATCTTTAACGAATGCACTAAACGGGACTCCAGCTTCTAGGTATGCTAAATCACAGACCCATCTCTGTAATCTCACGTTCTCTTTAAGTTAATAGGTGGGGAAGAAAAGGCGCATTGTTAGGGGCAAAAGAGTATATTGCTAGTTCTGCATGTTTGATAATCATATCATGCATTTCAGTAGGTCTTGTCTTTTCATAAGACCAGGTTAGTGGAGCTCTTTTTATTAATCTTTTCCAGTTGTAAAACAACTAAATTAAGCTCATAAATGTGATGGAAGCTTAGCAGAGATCGAGAAAATATATGAGATTGCAACTACTGGTTCAGAGGATGAGAAAATAGCTGCGGCTTCTATTCTCTGTGGGGCATCTCTAGTACGTGGTTGGAACATACAGGTACTCTGAGTTGGTGTTTTATCATGCTCGTGCTTTTTTTTTATATCGATTTCCTGGGAAGTTATTATTTTTTAGGGATAATTCCATTTAAAACCCTATACTTTTCTCTCGTCTCAATTTAAACCCTATACTTTTTTTTGATCCAAAAAAACATTGTACTTTTAAAAATTGGCAATTAAAACTCTATACTTTTAAAAATTGGCAAATAAAACCCTGAACGAAAAACAATATTATTTAATGCTGACATGGCATCCTAGTCATCTGTCACATCATCAATCCCTAATATTTAATAATATTAATTAATAAAAAATAAAAATAAAATAATAATAATAAAAATAAAATTTTAAAAATTATATATATTCATAAAATTATACACATATATAAAACATGTTTATAAAAATTTTAAAATTATATACATATATAAATATATTTATATATACATATATACAATATATATATGTATATATAAATATGTTTTATATGTATGTGTGATATATACATGCTTTTCTAAAAATCATATATATATGTGATATATGCATGATTTTTAGAAAAAAAATACATATACCATATATGCATATAAAACATATATATATATATGTATTATATATATGTGTGTATATATATAAATATGTTTATATATGTGTATATATGTATATCATTTCATTATATATGTATGTGTATAATTTTTAAAATTTTATTTTTATTTTTATTATTATTTTATTTTTATTTTGTATTAATTAATATTATTAAATATTAGGGATTGATGATGTGGCAGATGACTAGGATGCCATGTCAGCATTAAATAATATATTTTTTCGTTCAGGGTTTTATTTGCCAATTTTTAAAAGTATAGAGTTTTAATTGCCAATTTTTAAAAGTACAATGTTTTTTTAGATCAAAAAAAAGTATAGGGTTTAAATTGCGACGAGAGAAAAGTACAGGGTTTTAAATGGAATTATCCCTATTTTTTATGTGTCATTCCCTTGCACTTTTAAGATATTTTCTAAAGCTTCTCCATCTCTTACATCTAATTCTGTATCTGTTCTAAATCAGGAACATGTAATTGTTTTCATTGTATCTTTACTGTCGCCTCCTGCTCCAGCTGATCATTCTGGGAGTTATAGCCATCTAGTTGGTTATGCACGATTTCTCAATGTTCTTCTTCTCGAGATATCACCTGTCGATTGTGTTCAGATTTTCTCTTTGCATGGCATGGTAGGTCATGTTAAATAACACCTCTTGTTAAATAACACCTCTTTTTTCGGTTATTGAGCTGTTTCTCTGGGAACAGAAGAATTGAGTATTTGATGGATTAATTCTTCTGTGTGCCAGGTCCCCTGGCTTGCCGGTGCTTTGATGCCGATATGTGAAGCATTTGGTTCTAGCATTCCTGATATCACATGGGCTCTCCCAACAGGCGAAGAATTCTCCTCACATGCTGTCTTTTCTAATGCATTCACACTTCTGTTGAGGCTATGGAGATTTGATCATCCACCTCTAGATCACGTCATAGGAGATGTACCGCCTGTTGGCTCTCAATCCAGCCCTGAGTATCTTCTATTGGTACGAAATTGTTTTTTAGCATCCTTTGGGAAGTCAGCAAAGGATCAGATGGCACGGAAGAGATTTTCAAAAGCCATAACTCTCTCCTTAGAACCCATTTTTATGGATTTGTTCCCTAGACTAAAACAGTGGTATCGACAGCATCAGGAATGTATTGCTTCGATTCTCTCAGGACTTACTAAGGGAAGCCCAGTGCATCACATTGTTGATGCTCTCCTAAGCATGATGTTCAAGAAAGCGAATAAAGGCAGTGGTCAATCGCTGACTCCTCCGTCTTCAGGAAGCAGTAGTGTGTCAGCAGCTTCCACGGCAGAGGACACTTGTGATCAGCTCAAGTTACCTGCATGGGATATCTTAGAAGCCACACCGTTTGTTCTTGATGCTGCTCTAACCGCCTGTGCTCATGGAACACTCTCTCCCAGGGAACTGGCAACAGGTGTTTCCATTTTTTCTGAAAGTTTGGAAAGTCCTAAAAAGGATCTCTTGTGGCATGGATGGGCGTGATCTGAGTTGTACGCGTTTTTTTGTTTCAGGTCTTAAAATCCTTGCCGATTTTCTACCAGCAACACTGGGGACGATTGTTAGCTACTTTTCGGCAGAAGTAACACGAGGACTGTGGAAGCCAGCTTCGATGAATGGAACCGACTGGCCCAGTCCTGCAGCAAATCTAGCAAGTGTTGAGCAACAGATAAAGAAAATCTTAGCAGCTACTGGCGTTGACATCCCAAGGCTTCCTGTTGGTAATGTTTCTAATCTCTAGAGGGATAATCGATACTCTCCCAGTTTAGAACTACAGATGCAATCATGGCAGCCTCAAACACCTTTGTGGGAGAGATCTGTGCTCACAGAAGTGATGTAAAACGGGCTGGCTCGGACCGGCCCGGACCGGCTCGTCTCGAGCCAGCTCATTTTTGGCTCAGCCCGTTCGGCCCGTTTTTTTACGAGCTAGAAAAATTCTGACCCAGACCAAATTGTCCGAGTTCCGAGCCGGCTCGCGAGCCAACCCGTTTTTATCTAATTATTCGAATTTTTTTAAAAATTACATGAAAATTAATCATTTAAAGTCTAAGTAACAATATTGGACCTTGTTCTCGCCAAAGTCAAAGGATTTCCTGCCTGGCCTGCTACGGTATGTACAACCCCCCTGTCTTCCTTTCGTTTTCGTTTCTGCTGTTTCTTTTATCCTGTTGCCTGAGTATCAGCTTTTGATTCTGCATGAATTCCGTTCAACTTTCGTAGTTTTGTCAGATGGGTGGTGGAAGAATCTCTCTCTTTAGGTTTTGAAGTTGCTTATCTATGTATTAGATGGGTTTTTTAGTTGGATCTTTGTGCCGTTTGTTAATTTAGGGATTGTTTTCTTATATTTGATCGGCAAGAAGTATTTCAGGAGGATACGGCATGTTTTTTTGGTTGTTGTTAGATACAAGAACACGGATGAGCAAATGCATCCTTTCACTCTTGCGTACCAATTATTTGGTCTTTTATTTTTTCAGCCCAACTCGATAAAAAACGAGCCAACCGCGAGCCAGCTCGCGAGCCTGGCTCATTTTGACATCACTGCAGAAGCAGCTGCTTTTCCTTGCATAAATGATGCATAAATAAATTTTTCAGAAAACAGTGTCATCACGAGAAAACTCTCCGGCTATGCTTCCAATAAGCTCAAATGTGTTTGCCTTTTGCAGATGGAAGCTCTCCGGCTATGCTTCCCCTGCCTCTTGCTGCACTAGTCAGCCTCACGATAACCTACAAGCTTGACAAAGCATCTGACCGCTTCCTTGTACTGGTCGGCCCTGCCCTTGATTCCCTCGCCGCTGCTTGCCCCTGGCCCTGCATGCCAATCGTTGTCTCACTCTGGGCGCAGAAAGTGAAGCGCTGGAGTGACTATCTCGTTTTCTCTGCCTCCAGAACTGTTTTCCACCACAACAGCGATGCCGTTGTTCAGCTCCTTAGAAGCTGCTTCACTTCCACCCTTGGGCTAACACCTGCCTCCCAGATCTCCAGCAGGGGAGGTGTTGGTGCGCTCCTCGGCCATGGGTTCCGCTCCCTCTACTCTGGAGGAATCTCTGCAGCGGCACCAGGGATCTTGTACATAAAAGTGCACCGTGCAATCAGAGATGTCATATTCATGACAGAAGAAATCCTCTCTCTTCTGATGTTCTCCGTGAAGAACATTGCCTCCAGCGAGTTGTCGATAGAAAAAGCTGAGAGGCTGAAGAGGTCGAAGCACGGGACGAGATATGGGCAGGTGACGCTCTCATCGGCCATGAGACGTGTAAAGCTAGCAGCTTCCCTGGGAGCATCTCTGGTATGGATGTCTGGAGGTCTAAACCTCGTCCAGGCTCTGATAAAGGAGACGTTGCCATCATGGTTCATATCGGGCCAAGGCTCAGAAGGTGAGGTGGGAGGTATGGTTCCGGTGCTGAGAGGGTACGCTCTTGCCTACTTTGCAATACTGTGCAGTGCATTCGCGTGGGGAGTGGACTCGTCAACTCCAGCATCCAAGCGGAGGCCCAGAGTCTTGAGGCTGCACCTGGAGTTCCTGGTGAGCGCTTTGGATGGGAAGATATCTCTGGGGTGTGATTGTGCCACGTGGCAGGCGTACGTAACTGGGTTTGTGAGCCTGATGGTGAGTTGCGTGCCGGCATGGGTCCTGGAGATGGACGTGGAGGTGGTCAAGAGGCTGAGCAAAGGCCTCCGGCAATGGAAGGAGGAAGAGTTGGCTCTCTCTCTCCTGAGCGCCGGTGGGGTTGGCACCATGGGCGCTGCTACTGAACTCATCGTGCAGACTTTTCATAAATTGTAGCTTTTATTTATCGTTTCTCGTTTTTATTTATAAATAACCCATCGAATTTGATGCAGTCAGTGTAGAGAATTAAAAGTAAAATTTCTAAATGAAGGCGTCGATAGTTCTTGTATGGAATGGTAGCCCGTTGTTGTTTTCCGATTGGACCCATATTGGGCCCATTTAACCCAAACTGAGATGGGCTGGAAATTATGGTGGATTTGTTAACACGATTAAAATATCAAAAGTAAACTTTTCGTGCGCACCCATGGCGCATATTAGCGTCCTCTCCAAAGCCTCCACCCAACCCTTCAACAATACCAGAGCAGTTTTTTACCCTCTTTTGCTGCGAGGGTTCGTGTGTGAATGCCCTTCTTCCTCAAAAGCAAGAACAATCCACCGCACAAATCTTCCGTCTCCCCCTCTATCCCTTCCCCGATTAGGGTTTACGGGTCCCCCCACTTCCTTCGATTGGGTTGTGCTTTTCGATGCCTGCGACTTCTTCCGTTGAATCTGGAGCCGAAAACCCTAGACACTGCCTAGCTGCTCCGTTTCGCCCCCGATTCTGGCGTAACTCCGACATTTAATATCGGTTCTTTTTCCTGTCTTCGCTCCCTTCCTTCCGATGGCGCCGAGCCGCAGGAAAGGCGGCGGAAAGGCAGGCGCGCGA